AATTTTAACTTTTACCATGCTTCAGTTTTCGTAATTGTATAGTTGTAGGATTGATGGTGTTAACCATAGTTTAGGTTGATTGGTTATATTAATATTTTTATCATAAAAAAATAAAAAATATATTAAAAAAGAAGAAAAACACGTGTCATGATATTAGCAGGTGAAGGCAGTGCCTTAACCTGTAGCGTCGAATTAGCCGTTGTGTAGGTGTCAAGTAATGAGTACACGTACAAACCTACTTTATTTTTTTTTTAATTTATTATTAATTCCAATGCATTTTTTTTTTATCGTTATACACCCCAATTTTTTGTTTAATTGCAAATAAAACTCATTTTTTTCAATTTTGCAAGAAAATATCAAACTTTTATTAAGTATTGCAATTTTATCTCCAAATCAGTTTCCGGCCAAGCCAAGCTGACATGTTCGATCGGAATTTTGACAAGGCGCTGGGAATTTGACGTGGCACACAAAATTTTAAAGTCCATACCACATCAGCTGACATGTAATCCACGTCACACTTTTGAATCCATGTCATATTTCTTTTTTCTTTCTTTAAAACCTTTTTTCCCCCTATTTTGCAGTCCCATTAATCTGATTAATCTGCTCGATCAATTTCCCAGATCCAAACTATATTAAAATGTTGAGTGCCACATCAAATTTTCGGTGCCACGTCAAAATTTCGATCGGACATGTCAGTATAGATTGGCTAAAACTGATTTGGAGACAAAATTGTAATACTTAATAAAAATTTGGTATTTTCTTGCCAACGCCCGTGGGTTCTCCACTGATTTCGGGATTAGTATTCTTTTGGGGTTTTTTTTTTTATTTGTATCTTTTTCTTCAAATCTTTTGTTCTTGTTTGGTGTTGAGGTGCTCTGTAATATAATTAGGGCGACTTGTGTTCACAGATTTTGCTGAAAATCATCAATTTTTTGTGTAAAAAAAAAAAGATTGGCAGGTCTGTCCAGCTAAACTCGCGGCCCGAGACGGGGCGGGTTGGGCTTGCATTTCGGAGGCCCGCCAGGATGGCGGGCCAGCCCGCCCCGCCCCGCAAATTGGCGGGCTACGGGCGGGTCTGTCCCGCTAGCCCGTTTTAACAGCTCTAGCAAGAATATGTTTTAATCCAACCCAAAAAAATAAATAAAATAGAGTGATTACACTATAGTTACCAATAAGATCGGGTCCTTATCTAACATCATAAAATAGTTTATATGGTAAAGAATTATTATTTTTCTTCAATATGTCATTATTGTCAAGATATTTTCTATCTTTCAAAATTCCAATCCCCAAAAATTGACAGCCTCTCTATCTCAAAAACTCATCCGGCAAAAGCACAAACAGGAAAGATTTTGGGTTGCCTCCCATATTCTCGCCTGGCCTCCGTCTCGCAGCAACTGGCATCCAGCCTCGGGTCGAGCCGATTGTGCCCATATGGCTTTTCGCTCGACAGATATGGGTCTGATTGGACCCCCTCTTGGTGAAAGCATCAGCTCTTGCAGCGTGGCTTGTCGGGTCAACTCTCGAGGCATTCGTTTCCCTCCTGAATGAAGACTGCGGGAGCTCAGATTTGGATCGAGACTTGTCTCTTCACTAGATCTGACTAACCACTTGAGTAAGTTGGAGTTTTTAGTTCTGGGGCTTAGATCTGCACCTCTCTTGTTATTGATTGTGGAGTTTGGTTCGTTGCGGGATTTGACTCGTGTGTTGGTTAAAGTGGTTGTAGCGGTGTGCTCACGAGATGCAGGGCAGGTAGTATTCTATTGTTAGTTTAGGTGTGTGCTGTTATGTGTTTGGGTATGTGGGTGTGTTATTCTCATTGTTGGAGTTTCAACCTCCACTTGTGGGAGTTTAGTTTTTTGTCCTAGTTTGGGTTTGCGGCTCTAGAATACCGCTAGTTTCAGTTTAGTAGATGATTGATTCAGCTGTTTGGTTGTCTTAATTTGTAAATATTTGTGTTTATTAATTATAACCTATCATTTTAGAAAAAAAATGATATTATTGTCCATAACACACAGTTGTATTAGATTATGATATATTTTATAACTCTAATATTGTTTATTATATGAAATATAATTTTTTATATTATTTTTATTGTTATTTTTATTTTATTAGTATGGTATATGAATTATTATTGATATATGGATTTATTTAACTCATTGTATATTATTATTTTATCTATTTTAATTGATTGGTAATCAATTTATTGTTTAAGTTACATATAATTTTTTTATACTTTGTTTGAAAAACGGTCAAACGATGACATATTATATATGCAATATGAATATTAAATTAAAATTGTAGCTATTTTAATATATTGTATTTGAAAAGCTCATAAACATAATTATTTAACTTATATTAAAGTTTCAATGTACTACATGAATAACAGTCTAAATTTAAAAATAAACATAATTATTTAACTTATATTAAAGTTCCAATGTACTACATGAATAACAGTCTAAATTTAAAAATAAAATAAAAAAAAATGACCGCACAATATACTATAGTTAATACTAATCATATTATTTAGTTCTATTATCTAGCTCTCCGCTTACCCTTGCTACATGCAAATTCAACCCTATTAGGTTCCTCTCTAATTATCTTTCCTCATTCAATGTCTGCATCTACATGACCCTCAAACATCCTATCATCTTCATCATACAAATTACAATCACTCTCAACAAACTCATCAGAACACTCAGAGTCTGATCCAAAAGATTGAATTTCAAACTCACTCTCAGAATCACCCAAATCATCAACACCCATATCATCATGATTTTGTTCCTGACTCCAATTATCATTAAACTCATCTAAATTATGCCCATCATCCCCCACATAATCCAATGGTTCATCAACAGAAGACAAACAATCAGAAGGTTGAGTAGTCATATAGTCTTCCATATGTTCAACATATAAATCAACCATTCTATTCTCAGCAATCCAGTTAACAAGATTTAGGGCATCAAAATCATTTTGCAAGACAAACAAAGACCGACAATCATTAACACCATTTTTACTACAATGCACACACCTAACACCCTCTGACCCAACTTCAGAAGCCATACAAAATATTTCAATCAGTGAGAGTTCATCAAGGTCACAGTAGTCAATGTGTTACCCTCATGTGTCCACCAGTGTAGCATGTGTCACCGAGTTCCACAAATCGTCCACCATAATGAAATGAAATGGTAAAAAGTTGTGAACTTGGAACTGAAGGGGACAAGAATATTACATAAATCAATATCCTGGTCCCTTCACATGCAAATTAAATTAAAAAAAATTCAATAAAAAACTAAACTAATTTATCAATTTCGAAAAAGGGACCACATTTTAGACAACATTCACATGTTCATATTTGAGGGGAATGCTACCATCCCATTACGGGATGGTTCCGTTGTGTTTTTAAGCGTTGGATTAACTACCCATCATTAGATTACATGTATATCTATGGCTAGAAAACACAACGGAACCGTCCCGTAACAGGGTGGTAGCATTCTCCCATATTTGAATAATCCACTGATTGTCGCCACATTCAAAATGGAACCACATAATCACACAAACATGTTTACAGTTTAAAAAAATTGGGCCAATTTCAACAAAAAAACAAAAAAAAATTAAGAATTAGGGTAACAAAAGTACAAACCGTAATCTGGTCAGATTTTTGCAGAGATTTTTTTTTTTTTTTCGTGCAACAGAAACCTAATTTTGAATTTGTGAATTCAATTCAGTTACAATAGAATTTGTGTGATATTTGGGGGAGTCCGACGGTCGCATATATAAAATGGCAAATTTACCCTCAAGTTTCGAGCATGTGCCTCGCACACGCTCGCTTTTCCGGTGGAAAACGAACCGTTGATGGACGGAGGTTGCGATACAAGCAAAATCGTGTATTAAAAGTTGCAATTTAGTACAAAATATTCTTTAGGTTGCAAAGTCCAAATTCTAACATAATACAGGTTGGAAATAATTATTTACCATTTAGTCATTTATCTTTGTAAACATTTTTACTATTTTACCCTCTCAAATTATGCCTCTCTCATTCCATTTCCTATTGGACAATTGTTCAACTTACCTCTTGCAAGGACAGTATAGTAAATGTAATGTCTTGTCATATCATTTCTTACCCTACAAACACGCACATAGCCATTCGCGGATTGATTTTTTTATCTCGACTTCTAACTTCTAAGAGCATGCTTGGATATAACAAGGAAATAATCCAACTAAGAAGGATATAATCCGATAGTATGATTGTATGATTCACTGTTACAATTTCACCAAAACATCTAGTTCTACAAATATATATAAACAATATAAAAAAAATAAATATCCGTTCAAATCGAAAACTTTATCTCGACGACAGGCTGGAGTCACAACCACCGGCGACCTGACGTCAGCACCTCCAAACAAAACAACCCAAAAAAAAAACTCAATTCATCGACATTGCGGAAAGCCTGCTGGGTCCCGGCCGGAATTCTCCCCGCCGGCGCTGGTGGCAGGAAGAGGGGCGGATCAGAGCCGCCAGACCCCCCTTCGCAGCACCCAATCGCGCGAGGGAATTCCCGACGGCGGACCGCCTCATACTCAGTCCGCCGGAGCCGCCGCACGTCGCCGCTTTCGATCCGCCGGAAACCCCACCGCCGGAGACGCCCTTGTGCAGGCTGCACCGGAATGAGCCTGGGTGGTTTGTGGGTGAGCACATACACGTCCTCCTCTGAGGCTTGTCCGACCCGGTCGAAGATGAAACGACGCGGTTCGAGTGAACCGGCCGGTCCAAAGCGAAGAAGTTGAATGGCCGGGAAGGACGGTTCTCGTCTAGGTTTCTGCGGGCGGGGGAAGACGGCGGTGATTGGGCGGAGATGTGGCGGTTCAGCCCTGAGGAAGGGGAGATGGACCGGATTACCGGCCCGCTAGATCTACGAACCACGAAAGCTGCCATTTTTCCTTTTTTTTAGTTATTTGTTTTTGCATAAAATTCAAATTGAATTCTTTGTATAGTGAGTGGAACAATATGAGGATTTGAATTGGCAAACTGGACTTTACACTAACTACGTATTTATAGCCCATAAATAAATCAGCACACCGATTTGTTTTTTGCTTTTCAATAATAAATTGTGATTCTTTTCTTATAATTGCATTTGTGGTCCTTCGTTTTATACAATATAATAATTTTGAGGAGAATGACTTCTTTTTCCAAGTAGGTCCATGCGAATTGCGCGTTTGAATTATTGGCTTGATTTTATTGTACGTTTATACTTTATACTAACTTCATACCCAAGAAGAGTAATAAGTTTAACAATAAATTTGGACAAGCAAAGATTAAGCATACCTTTTGATTATTCAATGTTTAGAGACCAAGCACAAAAGAAAACAAAAGGTATGAAAAAAGGCTTCCTTTAAAAAATAAATAATACGGATTTACTTTTACAAGGTTACACAATTTGTCAAAGTCCTAAATACATATTCTTAAAGATCATCTCCAATTTTTAATCAAAAGACATTCATGTCAAGTTTGAAAGTAAGACAAATAATTATTGTTAATTACATACATATTGTCATGAGTTATTTTAATGTGAAAAAAGTTAGTATTAACATTTTGAACTCACTCTGTTATTTTTTAGAGTTTGTTAGGAATTGTGGCACACCAAATTGAAATTAGTCATTATTCACTCAAATATATTGAGATTATTCACCCAAAGGTTACATACTAAATGAATATTCTTTTAATATGAATTAATATATCAATCAATGAATTACCATGTATTAAATTTTATTTACCACTAAGATTTTAGTATTAACGATTCTCTCAACAAGAAATCTAGTGTCCGTCTATAATTAACATACGCATGATTCACGATAAATCACCATATTTTAAACAAATAATGTAAAATTATTATTTCATATACTGATAAAAATGGAACTTTAAGTTAGATACGTACATTAATTATAACCCAAGACAAAAGGCCGTGCATCCCCTTTTATTTATATTTTAAATCAAATGAAAAATTAAAATTCTTAGGGGTCAAAACACTATATCATGACCCTGTAGGGGCTGCAAATGCAAAGTTCGACAAAATCTTTCAAATTGTATTTTTTCTATTTAATTTTTATAATCGCGCCATTAGTTATTGACCAACGGAGCATGGATTTGTGACGAGATTCTGTCAACCATAGTTTTCAGTTTTTTATTTTATAATTATTGAAAAACGTGAAACCATGGGCCGCCCATCCCTGCGATTGGTGAGCAAAACGACAGAGCTTAATGCCGTTTTATTAACTAGCTTCCACGTACGAGATCTACTTTGGAGACACACCTTCTAAATACATTATACGTATCCTATTGATGCTCTATTTTAATATCATCCATACAAATGTACAACTCATTTAATAATTTGTTAAAAAGAAAAAAAGGTTAAATCCTGAAAACATTTTACGGAATATTATGATTGGAGTGCTGATTATGATCATATGGCCTTGTTATCATGTTGGATAGCTGTCTCATGTGATTTACAATAGTGTCTTTGAAATCTTATAATCCCTCCCTATATATTAATTGAGAACTGCTGAGCCTATGTGGAAGACTCGCATGCTTCGCGATCCTATGTGGCAAAAATACATGCTTCGTTATTAGGCTTGGGTAGATTTAGTTTACTTCTAATCCAAATATATTTAGGTTCGGATTATCTATAATATGTTGATTATTTATGGTAAGGGTGGACGCCGGTCGGGACGGTCTTGAATTTGACTTGTCCTGATACCCATCCCACTTTTATGAATCCGTCCATGAACGAGGCACCGTCGCCACCCATGTAATACATGGGTGTTGTACTAGTTGGATTTATAAAGGAACTACGAAAATAAACTAGTAGTGAATTCTGTCAAATTAATGCATAAAATGCTTTGGATGAGTTTTTTTAACAAACTAATTAAACTTAATTGACAAAATACATTCACCTCCACGTACATCACACGTGTACTTTACTAGTATATATATATATATATATATATAATAAGAATAATCATTTACTAAAAATAATAGTAAAAAATTTAGGAATATTTAATGCATATCATTTTTTAGAAACTTTTTAAATATATGCATTAATTACTTCTATATACAATTATTTAAATAAGATCAAATCACATATGATCAAAAATATTGTTTCTTTAAATAATTTTATTAATATCTGTAATAATTTAATTTATTATCATTGATATTCATTATAATAAATTACAAGATTGATTTAATGATTAATGTTGATAATATTTTGGTCAAGATAAATATTATAACATCTTGTAAGTTCTAACCATAATATTAATTTTTTTCACAAATATTCACTTTTAATTATGAAAATATTTATAAAAAATCGTAACAGGTTAGGTAGATTTTTTTCTTCCAATTAATCAGACAAAATCAAGTTGGTTAATTAATCTTTGTCAATATAAATTTTTCTTAAGCTTTATTTCATTATATATAAAAAATAAATTATTCTTCAAATAAATATAATTTAACATTTCAGAGATAATGACCAGATACATTAAATAGTTTTACTAATGTTCAAAAATTAAAGTTGAAATATATTAACTGTTTTTAAAATTTATTTGTATGTTATTGGCAACCAAGATTATTTTTTTATTATTTTTTATTTTGATTTCTTTTTATAATGAAATTATTGTATAATATATTTTCATTGATGAGTATGCTAAGTAATCTATAAATCCTTATAATGCAAATTAGAAAAATCTTGATTATAGAAGGAATTTAGTTTTTGACATTTCCTAAACCAAAGTTGTTTAATTAGTATACAAAATTAAAAAATTCAAAAAAATTTAGTGTGTATATTTTGTAAAATATCGATACACTATTTATTTTAAATTTATTTACATATTTTAAATTGATTACATAAATAAATAATACTAACGTGCATTAAATATTTTTTATTAAATAAAATAAAAATAAAAATGAGACTTACAACTTCTATAACGTTTATAAATAAAAATGACATTATATGACAACAAAGTTTAAAATAAAATGATAATTAAGTATTATATGGTGAATAAGAATAAATAAAACTGTTATTTCCTCTTATATCAATAAATAAAGTATATACTAAAATCAAATTTATATTAGTATAAATATGTTAGTGCAATAATATATTAATTATTTTACAAGTTAGTCATAACATGCTCATATTTAATGTTGTCGCTAAAAAAAATCACTGATTGAAAGAGGTGGAAAATAAATTATACCCCTGTTGTTTTTCACACTTACAGCTGATTAAAAGATGTGAAAAATATACTTTTTAGACTTAAACGGATAGAGCCTGTAAAAATAACTCATTTAATATCTTTGTCTCGTGTATCTCATGGGATATGTACTAGTAATTTTAAAAGTCTTAATTGGAATAGATAGAAGTCCAAATCTAGTTGCAATACTTCAAAACAAACACATAATTACTACGAAGTACTAGAAATCGACACATAGAATAGGCACATTATGCATTAATACATAGAGAATGATAACTGCATGAGATCCAGACAAACAAGAGAAGATTAATTACACTCTCCATTCAAAGTTAAAATCCTCAGTCAAAGATATATGCTTGACCTACTCCCGGAAGAAGGGGACAACGAACAAATGTTGTTCTAATGATTTCTGTGTGCTCGATATGAACAAGGCAGGCCAAGTGGAAATCACCAGTCCACAAAGCTACTATATATTATGGCATACTGTGACATTTCAAATTCCAACAACTAGTTTACTAAATTGACCATCACCTGCTTTTAGTTTACTAAATTGACCATCACCTGCTTTAAGTTGTATATGAATGACATGGGGGGAAGAAAAGAGAAGAAACATATATATCCAAACACACACACACACACATACACAGGCACACTCAAAACATGAATGTGACAATCTATGCATGTGTGACATGGGGACAGGTTTAATTGATATATACCAGATGAGTGATGAAGTACAAGCATGGCAGCACAGCGTGCAAATTCTCCTGCACACCAATCCAGCAGAACAGGGAGCCCAGTATTTATATCTGATAATTCAGATAGTTCTCCAGGATTGTTCTCATCTTATCCTGTGCAGTTCATTGTAAACCAATTGTACATTAAAGAGAAACTGCTCTCCGGCTTCACTATATAATTTTGCTTATACAAGAATTTATTATGATTCTCTTCTTTCCTTTTTCCCATTAACCAGGTGTAGTCTAACATGCTAAAATAAAATGATGGCCTTTTTCTTGGCAGATAGATGTCTTTGAGCCTCTAATCTGAGATATATTACGGTTTTAGCTACTTGCAACAACTTCAACACTGGTAAAGTGGACAATCTACTAACCAAAAAGAAAAAAAAAAATAAAAAATATCATCTTTTACCCCAAGAAAAAGGCCAACTTTCATGATAGTAATGTGTCATTATTACATCAGAAATTAAACCATTAGACAACACTCATTCAAATTTGTTCCCCAACACTGATGCTCCTTGCACTCGGCGGACTTTCTCTTCAAATCGATGAGTATCTCCAATCGCCCCATCATTCAATAACACACAAAATTCGACGAACCGATGCGAACATGTTCTCTCTCTGAAATACAAATTGTGCAACCCAAAAGAAAAAAATAAAGCAAAAATGCAGAAGAAGACTTCTTTGTCAAACAATAGTTGTTCTTGGAAAAGGAAAGATTCCTCAGATATCCTCCTCGGTACACGTACCATTATCATTTAATGCGCCGAGGAGACGTTTCAGAAAAAAGACGACTCTTCACGCTAACTGTTTAAAAGACGCACTTTTCTGCAAAACCTCTGTCATCATTAAAAGGAACCGACATAATTATGTTAGGACCAACAACTCAAAACCCAGTTCTTTATCAAGCCCAACATACAAGCCCAAATGAGGTTCCATTCTAAAACCAATTGGCAATAGAAGGAGTAGTCCACCAAGCTTATATATTGACTTGGAAATTTTTAATCTATCGACGTGGGATTGGGTTTGCACACCCAACAAATTACCCTTAATGAAGTCTAAAATGTATCTCCTCAAATAAAGGGCTTTTATCCTGACAATAATGGGTTGACCTTTATGAGCCCACCTGCACTAAATTTGGGCGCTTGATATCGGCATTGACTTCCCAGTCAAAGTTCATCACCAAGAATTCAAATAGCTTACTACGACCAACGTCACTCTAGCGTAGAAGGGTTACCTCCTCACATCGGCTAGCAGAGAATGAGGGTTCCTTCATACCTAATTAAAATTAGTGTGAAAAGGGTTTTTGCCGAGAACCAGTTCGCACTGTCTAAAGAGATAAGTCAGTTGAACACACAACACTCTGTGTTGAAGTTGGTACAATTTATGCATGAAGACTATGTTGCGTTGTTTTCCTTTCTCGCTGATTCATGAACAAAAACGTGTTGTTGCGTCTTCTTTTTTTTTACTTAAGTGCGTACGGTGTCGTTTTGGCTAGCAAATACGACACCGTTTGTTTCTTCTTCTTTGTCTGTATGCATGGACATATTAAATAGGGGTCACGTCCTATTTTTCCGATTGATTGAAAATGAGAATATGTTGAGCTAAGATATTTTGAGCTAAAGCTTTCCTTTGATCGATCACACACGAAAATGGAGAAACACTCGATTCAACATGGTATCAGAGCAGAAGATTCTGGGCACTACGATTCAACTTGAGCTAAAAAAAAAAAAAAAAAAAAAAAAAGAAAACGCAACAACACGTTTTTGTTCATGAATCAGCGAGAAAGGAAAACAACGCAACATAGTCTTCATGCATAAATTGTACCAACTTCAACATCAACACTCTGCATGTAGTTGACCCCTGAGAGTTCGCCACATGTTCAAAGAATAATGTATTTTAATGTCTTTTCCGTTCATCTATATAAACTGGGAGAAACACCCAAGGCTTGGCAATGACAAACAAACTCACTAGAAAATAGGGTGAATATTATTGCAAACATTATAGTTCATCTGCATAGACTGCATTCTACATGCTCTTGTAATAAATAGGTACGGGAGAGGTCCAAGCCCGAGAATAAATCTCCGTGTGAGCGGATCAACGCAATATTGATTGGTCGGAAAAAGTATGTATTTTATATATTTATTAGCGTATTTTTATATGTTTAGTTTTGTCGCACTTATATATTTTCTGGCTTATTTATTTATTAGAAGAATCCAAGTGCCATAATATTTATGTATTATTTTCAAGTGTATTTTGGAGTATTTTGGGGATCTAGCGAGTCACTATTGGGTCTTAATACCATGCCATAAAGCCCAAAGCTTTACAACAGTGGGCTTGTTGATTTATTAATGTATTTGAGTTGAAATTAATTAAATGGAATGTGAGTCTTTGGGGAAATACGTGGAGAACATACACATTTGAGAGGGAAGAATTTGAGATATTGGCTTGGAGGATTTAATTGGAGATTTTGGGCATCCATTATTTATTTTTCACGGAAGGGAGAAAAATCCCGTACCCACCAAAAGCCAGGAAATAAACGCCGCATTCACTCAGCGTGGGAGAATTTTTTTCCCAATGAGAAAGGCACGCAGAACAGAGGAGAAGAAAAAGACGGATTTGAAGATGAGGAATTTGGAGGGAAGCCGCGCCCGCACACGAAAGGAGATAATTTTATTGTCTTTCTTTTATTTTTATTTATTATGTTAGGTTAATTTTTATTTCTAGTTCCCGGAATATTGAACCCTACGTACTTGACTATGTTTAATTGACTATGATGATTGATTTTTTTGCTATTTTATGAAATTATTTTGATCACCTCGATAAGATTTTTCGTGTCTAATGTTAGAATAAACTTGCAATCTGTAATTGTTGTTGTGTTTAATTCATAAGTAGCAACCAGAAGCTGATAACTACCGGGGATAACACGACCTACTTAAATGAACCACGCAGTTGGATTCACTACTTAGATTAGTCTATTTTTCTAGAATCTAGAGAGCGTGTTGAAGTCAAGTTTAATCGTAGAGCGTCTTGCGGTTAAATTAAAAATAAGGAAAAAATCGGGTAGAGAGCGTGTTGCTATCTAGGGCTAGTAAACTTGACATCACAATTGATTAGACTAGTCGAGCGAGGGTGTAAACGGAACCGTGAACTAGAAAATTCTCTTATTTATTTAATTTAATTTTAATTTTATTTGTTTAGATTTTATTCACTTTATTAGGATTTTAGTTAGTTTAGTTATTACTTATTAAATCAAACCCCCCATCTTTTTATTGCTTTTATTATTTCAATTAATACAAGAAAATTTACAATTTAATTCACATTCCTACTACTAATTAGTAGAGATTAATCGAAAAAAATTATAAATTTTAATTTGCTGCGCGGCCAAACATCTAATTCATCGACTGTCATTTGTTCCTATTTCCTTTCACGTCATCATTTCTGTCTTCATTCATCTTATATAAAACACTAATCACAACCCCAACATAGCATACTACCTCGGCTTCGTAGTCTTGTTGACAAAACCACCCGTCAAAAAATAATAGTATATAAAGACGTAGACAATAGCCAATATCAATTCAGTACGGGTTTGATTAATTTTCAGCCCTCATAGCTGCTCAAGTTTCAAAGAGCACTTTTGCACACTCTGCTTTTACTTCAAACAAACATCTTGTCTACTTCGTAGGTACTTTACACTTAAATTCCCCAATTTCAAGAAAATGGATCAATTCCCTGAAGACAGTTATGTTCTGTTCCCCCATAACTATTTGTCTTTGTAACACCATAAAAAAATATATTATTAACCTTTTTTTTTTATCAAGAACTCCCTCAATGTCTCATTTTTTAACTGCCATTTTTTTTTTTTTTTCGAAAAAGACAAAAAAATATAAACAAACAGGGATCATAGGTCCAAGTGGCATTCACTAACGTGCCATGTCCAAGAACCAAGATGCAATATGGGTCCCACACCCATTTATGGAGTCTCTTGCGTGGGTTTGTGTGTGTGTGTGTGGTGGAGATATTTAAGAGCAAGAAGCTCCTTGCCTTAAAGACCATATTCAAGAGCTTTAATGTTTATGATACAGTCAAGTAGCATTCTGAGAATTTAAGATAGCTCAAAAACAAGTTCTTTAATTCATTCTCTATCAATTAATTTGATTGTCCCTTAGCTGTGTGCCTGTGTTATTATTATACAC